TTCACAAAATGTGAATCATCAAGACTGAAGAATCTTTAGATACACCACTCACTGATACAGAGAAAAACCCTTTTTATCTTTCTTGTCAGTCTCACAAGATTGTTTAACGAAGTGTTCATCTTCATTCAATGATTTATCCAAAGATTCTTCAATTTTCTTCTTTATTTCAGGTTTTTTCTCTTTTTTAACAGGTTCATGAGATTGCTTAACAGAAAGTACTTCTTCAGTTGATGAATTATCCAAAGACTCTTCATTCTTCTTCTTTATTTCAGGTTTCTTTTCTTTCTCTTCAGGCTTGGCAGATGGTTTCACAAAATGTGAATCATCAGAGAGTGGTTTATCTAAAGTTTCTTCAGACTTTTTCTCTGTATCATCCTTTTTATCTTTTAAGTCAATCTCACAATATTGTTTAACAGAGAGTTCATGTTCATCCAATGATTCATCCAAAGATTCTTCATTTTTCTTCTTTATTTCAGACTTTATTTCGATCTTATCACGCTCACCAGATGATTTCATAGAAAGTATATCCTCAACCAATGGTTTATGTAAAGTTTTTTCACTTTTATCCTTCACTTCATCCTTTTTAACCTCCTCAACAGACTCAGTAGATAGTTTAACAGATTTTGCATCCTCAGTCATTATGTTTCCTGGTGATTCTTCAAGTTTCTCTTTCAGTTCAGGTTTCTTTTCTTTCTCTTCAGGCTTGGCAGATGGTTTCACAAAATGTGAATCATCAGAAAGTGGTTTATCTAAAGTTTCTTCAGTCTTTTTCTCTGTATCACCCTTTTTATCTTTTTTGTCAGTCTCACAAGATTGTTTAACAGAATGTTCATCTTCATTCAATGATTTATCCAAACATTCTTCATTTTTCTTCTTTATTTCAGGCTTTATTTCAATCTTATCATGCTCACCAGATGATTTCATAGAAAGTATATCCTCAACCAATGGTTTATGTAAAGTTTTTTCACTTTTATCCTTCACTTCATCCTTTTTAACCTCCTCAACAGACTCAGTAGATAGTTTAACAGATTTTGCATCCTCAGTCATTATGTTTCCTGGTGATTTTTCAAGTTTCTCTTTTAGTTCAGGTTTCTTTTTTTTCTCTTCAGGCTTTGCAGATGGTTTCACAAAATGTGAATCATCAGTGAGAGGTCTATCTAAAGTTTCATCAGTCTTTTTCTCTGTATCACCCTTTTTATCTTTCTTGTCAGTCTCACAAGATTGTTT